ACCCGAGCCCCGCCGTTTGCCTCTCCTCCTGATATCCATGGACACATACCAAGCCCCTTTCGGGGTCCCACCTTGACCCTGGATGCAGCAGTCATATCTGAGATAGGCGACTTTTGGAAGCGGAGAGAGAGAGGGGGGGGAGAGGGGAGGAAGCCCCAGAGAGGAGAGCATGGAATGTATACCATCATTCGAGGTCAGTGGATGGAGACGAAAAGAAAAGAGGCACGCCAGGAGAGGGAGAATATGAAAAGGAGAGAAATGCGAAGAAAAAGCTGGAAGGGAAAGGGGAGGAGGGGGGGAAGGGGGGGGGGGGGGGGGGGGGGGGGGAGGTGGGGTGAGTGGTGGTGCGGATGAAAAAGAGAGGGGGGTCTCCTTTTGTTGGTTTGTGGACCCAACCCCCCCCCCTTCCCCTCCTCGTGGGGCCTCCTCCCTTTTCCCCCCCTCCTCCCTCGCCCCCCCCCCCCCCCCCCCCCCCCCCGCCGCGCCCCATACTCGGTGGCTCTCTCCACAACCGTAGACATGCGCCGAGGCTGGTCGCGGTGATGCTGCAAAGGGGGGTCAGCAGGGGGCGGGGGACGCGTGCGAGGGATGTGTGTCTGCGCTGCCCTCGAAGAAAGTTGCATCCGGCCCGTGCAGGCATCACGGCCGACCAGCGCGCGGCGTCTGAAGCGGGGCCACCTCGCGGGAGTTCGAGCCCGGCGGCTATCGCAAGTAGCCGAGACAAAGGGCTTCACGAGAGTGCAGCAGACCGGAGCAGGCCCGGATGCGACGCGGTCGGGCAATGTAGCGCGGCGGCGGCGGCGGGGGGGGGGGGGCCGACCACGGCGTCTGTCAAGGGGGCCGCCCGCCGGAGCACAAGGGCTGGAGCGGTTCGGCAAGCAAGGAAGGTCTGGCCCCCTGTCTGTTGAAACCCTTTTTCCCCCCACTGTCGACGGCGGGTGTGCGGGCTGCGGAAGGGCATGCACGGTCGCTCGCGCGCTCGCCGATACACATGCCCTCGGCCACCCGGGCTGGCCAAACACACAGGGGGCCATCGGGGGTGAGGGCGCGCGTGCCCACTTGGGACCTATGCTCGAGTCGTCGCAACAGGGGCAGAGGGGGGTGGGCCTCCTGGCTTCAGGCATTCAGGCATCCAGGGACGGGACCTCACCCGGCTTGCTTGGCAAGAACACCCTGGGGAGCAAAGTACGGGCAAAAGGGGCAAAATAAATGCATCGCCAAGTGCTGGGAGCGAATAAAAAGACCGGAGGCCAGGCCACCCTGGTAGGCTTGACAAGTGTGGGGCGTAGATTGCGTGGACGCACTCCCGAGGGCAGGTTGTCTCTTCCAGGGGACCGGACGAGTGACGACGGGAGACGGGCCAGATGAGGCCCTAACACCAAAAGGTGCCGAAGGGCTGTCATGCAGGCTGATCGCCCCTCCGAAAGGTTCCCCACCGGCGGCGAATGCCGCACTCTCTGGAATGGGTATGGCACCCGACAGCCGCATGCTCGGTTCCTGCGGGCAGGAGGGGGAGGGGGCCGGGGACGGAGCAGGCAAACCGCCGGGGATGGCACGGGAAAAGGGGCAGGCACACGCCGTCGGGGCTGCTCTGATCGGGGGGCCCAGGAGGAGGGGGGGGAGGGCTGCTCGCCCGACCCCGGGCGCAAGCGGACCCTAGATAGCTGGGCTGACCAGTGTGACTGGGCTGGTCGGCCCGTGGCCGAACCACGCCCCAATGGCGGCTGGGCGCCTCCGAAGGCCCGCGGGGGGGGGGGG